AATTGGAGAAGGAGTAAAGTCTGTGAATATGAAGAAGGAGGGGAGTAAGGATGTATGAGAGTTACAAAAGTAATTGTAATTATGATTATTACAAAGGCTAACGATAGATAGTGGTTTGATAAAAGTATACAAACCCTTAGAATGGCTAATCTGACGTTAAATGATACTTTGATAAAGAGATTCAAACCATTAGAATGGCTACACTGACGATAAGTGATACACTGATAAACCGATGCAAACAATTACAACAGACACGATGAGGATAAATAATTGTTTGATAAAGAGATGAAAACCCTTAGAATAGGCACGCTGACGAGAAATTATGGATTTATATGAAGATGCAAACCCTTACAGTAATCACGCTGACAATAAATGACGGTTTGATAAAAGGTTGCCAACTCTTAGAATAGCCATACTGACGACTAGCGGGGATACTCGGCGTTGCTCGGAAGATCTCTGAATAGTAGTTTATTATTGACAATTTTATTGATATTTTTCAGCCATCTTATGGAATATAATTTTTTATTCAATCTTTAAAAAATAAACTTCAATTTTTTTTTTTTTTGTTACAAGATAACTAAATTTAGGAAAATACCACACTACCAATACCACGCTCGTTGGGTGGGGGTGACTGAGCATCCCCATATTTTTATTCAAAAAGACACTTTCATTTTTTATTTAAATACTAATATAATAATACTAATATAATAACTGTTAATGTTGTTTTCAAACAAATCAACTTTAGATAAAAGATCATTACCCTTTTTCAAATTATTATTGATAAAAAATTAAATAAACTTAAATTAAGATATATTTAAACATTTAATTTAATCATTTATTCAAGCAAAAACTATAGTAAGACTTACTTCTTCGAAAAATAATTATTTACTATTTATTTTGGAGAGGAATATAGATTTTTTAAATAAATAAAGTTTTACTTTTAAACATTACATTAAAGAAGCAAACATTTCTCATTAAATGAATTTAATTACAATTTTGAAAGAGTGTAGAAGCAAGATACATTGAGAATTCTAATTTTGAAAGGCGATTATGTTCAAATTTCAAGTTATATTTGTATTTGAAAAGAAAAGAAAAACTTTAATTAAACAAAAATTAAGAGACAGACATGACTTACAGCCAACATTAGTCGTGTTGAATATTTGTTTTACGAATTTAAAAAAGTATCGAAAAAATAATGCTCGCTATAGTTTTTACTTTAATAAAACTTAATTTAAAATGTTTTACTTTTTATGTTAGTAACAAACCCCAAAATACTCAAGTTTATTTTTTTAAAATTGAATAAAAAATTAATTTTCCATAAGATAGCCGAAAAATATCAATAAGTCAATATTAATAACACACACACACACACACACACACACAACACACACACACAAACACACACACACACACACACAAACAACTGCCTTTAGGGTGATATTGAGTCTGTGTGGAGGTCGAGGTCCATGTGTAGAGTTCTGTTAGTGTGGAAGTCATCAACATAGGGTTTTACTTGTTTACAAGTGGTTATCTTCGGATAACGTCCTTAATCCAAATATAAACCAATTTATGGCCTTTTAAAGATGCATACAAAGAGAAATAATATAAAGATATATATTGCATGTACTGATAAAAATTTATATCTCTTAAAATAAAATATGCAATAATATTCAAAGAGTTCATAAGTTCCTCTCAAAAAAGTTTTCGTGTTGAAAGTCTTTCGGTCCTTAACATTGATATATATATATATATATATATATATATATATATATATATATATATATATATATATATATATATATATATATACAGAGAGAGAGAGAGGGGAGAGTCTTTACTAATATATATACAGGTATTGATAGTAGTAATTCTTTTGACTCTCTGTGGAATTTTAAGGTGTCCGAAGCTTGAAGGTAAAAGAGAGCGGATAAAATGCTTTTCAGCGGCTGGTCCGGTCCGTTTGCCTGTCCGTCATTATCTGTCTTAACATTCCGGAATTGTTCTTGATTTTGATTGGTTCCAGTTTTATTTTGTCGTTAACTATTGTAGTTTTTTAGTTTTAGCCGGACACACACACATACTAGAATATTGTATTTACTATAGATGTGAAGAGAATAGAAATTTTTAAAATATAGACAAACAACGTACTTATAGGGGGGTCCGTTTAAGTCGATTGTCCATAGATGGAAGAAGCTCTAATTTGTCACTGATACTTAGGTTTGTACTCTTCCTTTTTACACTTTTCTTCTGCTTCGATGCCATGATGATAGAACAATTAATATATTAATCAAAATAACAAAAATAATAGATTTAGAATTCGTACTTTCTCACGTACGCTCTAATGTATCGTACTTTCCGTCTTAGTTTACAATTGAAAGGGCCGCCCTCGCCGCCAATCCGTCACTTTTAGAAAAAATACGACTCGTTCTGCTAAGCCCGCAAATTTTGAAATATATCGCTGACGATTTGGAAGATTTTTTTTTTCACTTTGTCTACAGATTTTGTCCGTTGCATCCGAAGTCCGTAGATGAGAGGTTTCTCTGTACATTCACCTTCGTCCGCAAGTATACGCGAAGCAACTGGCCAGAATGAAGGGGAAAAGAAAGAAAGAAAGAAAACAAACACAACTAAACAATGTTCCTAACTATGAGATCAGTCCTCTTTCCTCTTAAACCCCCCCCCAAAAAACAATGAAGTTTATTTTTTAAAGATCGAATAAAAAATTATTTTACATGAGATTGCCGAAAAATATTAATAAGTCAATAATACACACACACATGTTAATTATCGTAGTTTTAATGATTAAATTAAATAGGATTAAATATAACTTAATTTAATGTATTTACTTTATTTCGATGTTTTAGCCGAGGACACAGACACACACACACACTCGAATATTTGAATAAATAAATGTCAAATAATTGTATTTAATATTCTTCTTCTTTTAAACATGTGAAATTAAAGTCAAGAGAATAGAAATTTTAAAAATACATACATGTATAGCATTTCAAATGTATCAACAGAATAAAAAGTAAAAACGAACGGTAATTCTAATCGGGAATAAGAATTTTTACCGTTCATTTTTACTTTTTAATTCTGAGAATTTCAAAAGCATTCTAATGTATTTTGATGTTAAAATATCTTCATAAATACAAACCATACGTTGATAATGAGTCTGGGTATATATTTACTTTGTCATTATTACTGAAGTCTTTTTTTAGTTTTAGCCAGGCACACACATACAGGCAATGTGTTCTTTGTATATGTATAGATAAATGATATATAGATGCCCATCTTTAAAATAGCTATGCTGACTACAAATGATTGTTTGATAAAGGGATGCAAACCATTAGAATAACCACGCTGCCGATAAATGATGGTTTGATAAATGGATGCAAAAGCTTGGAATAACCACGCTGACGATAAACGATGGTTTGATAAATGGATGCAAAAGCTTGGAATAACCACGCTGACGATAAACGATGGTTTGATAAATGGATGCAAAAGCTTGGAATAACCACGCTGACGATAAACGATGGTTAGATAAATGGATGCAAAAGCTTGGAATAACCACGCTGACGATAAATGATGGTTTGATAAATGGATGCAAAAGCTTGGAATAACCACGCTGACGATAAATGATGGTTTGATAAATGGATGCAAAAGCTTGGAATAACCACGCTGACGATAAATGATGGTTTGATAAATGGATGCAAAAGCTTGGAATAACCACGCTGACGATAAATGATGGTTTGATAAATGGATGCAAAAGCTTGGAATAACCACGCTGCCGATAAATGATGGTTTGATAAATGGATGCAAAAGCTTGGAATAACCACGCTGACGATAAATGATGGTTTGATAAATGGATGCAAAAGCTTGGAATAACCACGCTGACGATAAATGATGGTTTGATAAATGGATGCAAAAAAGCTTGGAATAACCACGCTGCCGATAAATGATGGTTTGATAAATGGATGCAAAAGCTTGGAATAACCACGCTGCCGATAAATGATGGTTTGATAAATGGATGCAAAAGCTTGGAATAACCACGCTGACGATAAATGATGGTTTGATAAATGGATGCAAAAGCTTTTAATAACCACGCTGCCGATAAATGATGGTTTGATAAATGGATGCAAAAGCTTGGAATAACCACGCTGACGATAAATGATGGTTTTGTAAGGTGATGCAAATTCTTCAAATAGTCACACTTCACTGGCTCTTTATTTCACTATTATGAAATTTATTGACTAATTTAAGACCTTAAACCTACTTTATATTCTGGCATTCCTTATCTATTTTCCATTTTACTTATACTCTTTCCTTCCAATCTCCTCCTCTTTCGTCACTTAATACGATCCCCTTTTATCATCACCATTTTTACAGTCATCTTCTTTCTTGATTGTCTCTCGAGCATTGTATAGGTTGCATTCTGCTATACGTTTCTGCTTTATTTCATCAATACGTGTCAATTTTTTCTTGAGTTTTTTTTATGTACACATAGTGGAATTAAGTACTCGTTTAACGGATAGACGCCAGGAAGAAAAATCGATGAACAGATTTCGAATTCCAGTCGAGTTTTTTACATTTACACAAATATTCTTGGGACAGATATGTTTCTCTTAACCCCCCAGTTATGGGTTAAATAGCAGGAGAAACTGAGCTCCCAAGCAACCAGTTTTTGAAAAAGATAAATTCTGTGTTTGGTGTATCACATACTATGCAACCAACGAAAAAATTGATTTGTTTTCACGGTTTATCAACCTTTTGCGGGTTAAAACTAGAAATATATTTCGATTATAAGAATTTTTTAGTGATGAAAATTATTACTAATGCTCTACTAATTAACCCATAGCTGGGAGGAGAAGAGGTGGATTCATAACTTTCCATCGGGTATTTGCGCATATGTAAATATAGAGAACGCAACGGGAATTGGAAATTGACTCTTCGATTTTCATTTCCGATTGGTTATCCATTACACCACCAGCACATCCAAGCCTGCATCAGCTGGTATTCCCAAGCGGTCACCCATCTAGGTACTGATCAGTGTCGACGTTGCTTAACTTCGCTGATCGTAAGAGAACCGGTGCCAACAAAAGAATCATTGAGTTCACTATGACTCTGCGATACAATCTTTGCTCGATCTGATTGCTGGATGAATTTTGCTGCACACTGAATCATATCAGATACATAAGAAATTGAAACGAGAACCGCTTATAATAGCCAGTTTCGCTATACGTCGTCGACTAATAACGATATTAATGATACCTTAATGCTAAAAATGGGTAGTTGTTAGTCTACTTGTAATCTCGGTCAAGCCATTCCGTTCTGTATTTATCGTTAAAGGCTCTTTAGAAAGTTCGAATAATAAAATAATGAGAGAAAGATGGAATTGGAGAGACGGAGGAGTGAAAAAAGACAAAAGCCAACATGCCAGTGTGGCACCAGGATGTGACAATCGGCTGCACAACGTAAGAAACTTGTCTTTATATTAGGTCACCTCCTTACGTCCTGCCCCTCCCAGTTGAAATTTTTACGTCAGGCGCCTTCTGGGTCGGAGTTGAATCATCAACATAATTCATCTGTGTTAACAAAAAAAAAAAAAAAACTCAGATTTGAAATGTCTATCTTTTACTGAAAAGAATCATTGGTTGGGTAAAATAAAGAATCTTAATTATCTTTGAGGATAATTGCAGAGAATTATTCCTGAAGGTTAAAAAAAAAACGTTATTCAAATTATAAAGATTTCTATTCAAAATACAAAATTTCCTATTCAGATTTTAGATATGTTCATTTTAAATAAGAATATCGTAAGTAGGAAGCAGATTTTTAAAAGTAAAAAATAAAATTAATAAGATCTTACAGTGTTCGGACTGTTGTCCTCATCTTTATTGTCACATTCACAACGTTTCGACTGTTGTACGCTCGACTTTCATCAGGTGATATTGGTTTAAATTTCGAACTGAACCAAGAATTGTCAATGTGTATGTAGGCGTTTCAGAGGATTGGTTCGATGACGTTTGTGTAGAATTTCTTCACACATTTATTTCCTGAAATGGGCTGACATATAACAACAGTCCGGACAATGTAAGTAGTGTAAATAGTTACAAAACCTCATCTCATAAATATAGAAAGATCCTGAAGAAAGTCGAGCGTACAATGGCCGAAACGTTGTGAATTTGACAATAAAGATGAGGACAACGGTCCGAACAATGTAAATAATGTAAATAGTTACAATACTTCATCTTAGAAATATAGACAGATCCTGAAGAAGGCCGGAGCGTAGAACGACCAAAACGTTGTGAATTTGACAATAAGTACGAGGACAACCGTTCAAATAATGTAAATAATTACTATATAATACAATCATCTCAAGAATATAGACATCTGGGGAATTTTTTCTTCAAACCTGTGTTCAACGGCAGTCACTCATCTAGATATATAATCAAATTGGTGTTGCTTAACTTTGGTGATGAGAACCGAATGAATAATTTCAATGTGATGTAACTGAAATTTAAATTAGCACAAAAGGAGAAGCAAAATCACTAAAACAGCGTGTGTAGCTCACTAAACATCGTTAAGTGTCTCGTCTGTACATTTATATTAATTTAAACTTATACGTATATACATACACACACACACACACACACATATATATGTGTGTGTGTGTGTGTGTGCGTGCGCGTGTGCAAAACTGAAGCAGTAATTAACAAAGTAAATGTAATAGATACAAATGAGCAAAAAAAATATACATAGGGCGTACTGAGGGTAACTTTAAAAGGAGGTGGTGCAATCATAAGTCATCTTATGAGAAAGCCTTAGAAATACTACTATACTAGACAACCATGTGTGGAAATTAAAGAAGAAAAATAAATAAAAAAAAGATCCGATTGTAAACTGGAAAATCTTTTTAAAAAAAGTTTATCCTTACAACAATCATAGCAATATCCGCAACCTTTGTCAATAAGAGAAATTAGCTATAATAACATTTCCAGACAACAAAAAAATTTAAACCTTGATTTTACACTTGATTTCCCTTCTTCCTTATTCTTCGCTTATTCGTTTATTTATTTATTTCTATACTTAAAAGATTCACATGTTAAGTTTTTATATTTTTATATGTGTATTGAGCACTTTTTTAATACTACTGTTTCCTGGTCTAATTCAACTCTGACCATTAACTTCTTTATTATACACACACACACACGCATATATATATATATATATATATATATATATATATATATATATATATGTGTGTGTGTGTGTGTGTGTGTGTGTGTGCATTATACATATTTTATGGTAGATAACTGAATATTAAAATGGAAAAGTGGAGAAATCTGAACAAAAAACATCGAGAGGAACGCTGAAGATGTAGAGACGCTAAACTTACATTTCTGGCATCCGATGTGTCTAGATGTACAGGTTAGCCGACTTCAATCGGCCTCCCAACACTGTGAAAGCAGTGTGAGGCATGATCGCTTAGCCGATCAGATCTCTTTCGATATATGACTGTTGTTTCTTTCTGTGGAAGGATATATTCAAACCACAGTTGGTGGAGGGGGGGAGAAAGGGGTTCATACCTTTCCCAAGGGTAATTGCTCATAAGTAAATACAATGAATACGATTGGAATTCGAACTCGGTTCTCTGAGTTCATATTTCGTACCCGTTATCCATTACGCCACACCACGCATCCAGTGGATTTGTTTTTAAAATATAAATGTGGTATCACTTATAGTTTATGAAAATTCTTAGTCGATTGAGAGAGAGCAACATGTTAAAAAAAATTACACTGGAGTGCAATATACCCAATGATGACACTCAGCCAGATAAGAGTATACAGTCAATTATGCGCGATATGGTCATAGCGTATAACGTTGCAAATAGGGCGCAGTTAGAAATACCTTCAGGTAAACTAACCCAGTACATCCAGATAATCCAGATAAGAGTATACAGTCAATTATGCGCGATATGGTCATAGCGTATAACGTTGCAAATAGGGCGCAGTTAGAAATACCTTCAGGTAAACCAACCCAGTACATCCAGATAATCCAGATAAGAGTATACAGTCAATTATGCGCGATATGGTCATAGCGTATAACGTTGCAAATAGGGCGCAGTTAGAAATACCTTCAGGTAAACTAACCCAGTACATCCAGATAATCCAGATAAGAGTATACAGTCAATTATGCGCGATATGGTCATAGCGTATAACGTTGCAAATAGGGCGCAGTTAGAAATACCTTCAGGTAAACTAACCCAGTACATCCAGATAATCCAGATAAGAGTATACAGTCAATTATGCGCGATATGGTCATAGCGTATAACGTTGCAAATAGGGCGCAGTTAGAAATACCTTCAGGTAAACTAACCCAGTACATCCAGATAATCTCCGATTGAGGGTATTTTCAAACAAAGATCTACGCTGAGAACATGCCCAACTGATTATGGTCAGATAACGATAGCAGATATTTTTTTTAAAATACAAATCTTTGTACAAACGTTGATTGTCATGAGAAAAACGGTAATCAACGCGACAGAGCGAATGAAACGCGGCTATTGTGAATAGAATGCAACTTAAACGTGGGTTGCATGATGGGAAACGTGCACATCTTGAACATTTTCATGCTTTAATTCAATACATAAATTTAATTTAATTCATTTAATTTAATTCATTTAATGGCCACAGGTATGATGCCCGACACAAAAAGAAGCCCAGCCCGGAGAAGAGTGAACAAAATAACAGCGGGGCTCCATAAGTTTTATACTGAACTATTTGATTCTTCAGTTGTTGTAATGTACGGCAAGAGGTTGTTATGATTGAGGAAAACACCTAATCGATTGTTGTACCGGCAACTACGGGAGTAATAGAGGGGAAAGAGAACAACGATAACAAAAATATCACTGCCTGGGAAACCACCGCAACATTAGGAACAAAAATGCCCACGGGACCGACTTCACAAGACACCGTGTCATGTTAACTGCTAACTGCTGGCTTTCTCGTTGCTGTTATTGGCATGAGGCATCTTAAAAAGACACGGATCTTGACCAGTTGCAGAGAGGCCCGTATCTAGACATGCCAATCTGTCCTGTCGCTTGGCGGAGAAAACTCAGATGTAACTGGTGTTGACAGACATGTCCGCACGCGATCCAGAACTTCTCTTGCGTCTGTAACGATGCTCATTCGCCACATTATCTTTATTCATTATGTGCCGTGTCCTTTCAGGACGTAGGTGATCATGGCCATCCACAACTTCTTGTCCATTGTAGCTCTTAATAAACCTTGTCTATCTCTTATTTCTTCTAAACCTTGTTCCGTTATCCATTTACTCAAGATCACTATATTATGCGTTGTTCCTTTGTTTCTATTGCCTTCTATCTGTCCCGTGAGTATCAGATTTTCTAATCCCTCCTTCCTCATTATGTAATCCAGAAACCTCAACTGTCTCTTCCTGATATTAATTATGTTTCTTTTTTTGTTTCCATTTTCTCTGAGACTTCAGCATCCTTCTTTAGAACAATATTTCTCTTTCTTCAGGTATCTTCTTCATCTTTGAGGAGATTGTCAAGCATTCACTGCCATTCCGGAAGACAGATATCGCGTAACAGTTTAGTCCAGTTTAGTACGTAACAGTTTAGTACTCTTTTCCTTGTTTCTAGTGAAGTTCTTTTTTTCTATTTCTTAATACTCTGCTTAGCTTTTGGGGTGCTTCTTTAGCTATCCCAATACGACTTCGGATTTCAATGTCACACTTTCCGTCCTCTGTTAAAATACTTCCCTGATATTTAAATTTCCACACATGTTTGATTTTGGTACCTCTGAGTTGCAATTCGCACTTTGGACTCATCCTTTTGCTAACAACCATGCATTCTGTCTTCTTGCAGTTGGTGTTTAATCCTTTCTTTTTGCTTTCATTCATTACCATTTGTAGGTGTTTCCTGAGTCAAAACTGTGTCATCTGCATAGCGTATGTTAAGATTGTGGCCGCTAATAATGAATCCTGGTAGGATTCCTAGATATCTCAGAATCGCATCGCTATACAGGCTAAATAAGTCCGAAGAGAAAACACATCCTTGTCTTGCACCTCTT